TTTCCAAGAGCCAGTGACAGGCAAGGAAGGAGGATAATCACAGCTTTCCTCATCAACCCAGCTCCCTTGCCAGTTTCTCCTCTTCTCACTCCTCCTCCTCCTTCTCAATCACTCACTGGACTTGACCTTCCCAAGCCTTTTCTTCGCTTTTGTCCCACGAGTTTTTCCTTCTTCTACCCCTTTCTTTGACAGGCCCCTCAAAGTTCTGCCATCAGCCATCCGCTTTAGCTCCCATCCTCCAGCTCTTTTAACTGTGGATCTGGGGCAGACCCAACAAAGCCCGTTACCTTGGGGAGCGCCTATCCCTGAGGCCACCCAGACAGGTCCCCTATGGTCTCATGTCTGTGCAGGGGGAGTGGCCCCTGGGTCCGCGCCTGCGTCTTAATTCATCACCGCCCGGTGCTGGGGAGTCATATGCTGCTTTATACCCAGTGTCTGCACAATGGGACCTTTGTGGGCCTCTGAACAACGCCCTTTAGAATTCAGATCAAACCCCTGACTTCCGCCCACCCTACACACAGAGCACTTGTGTCCCAGCGCCGGACACCCAGCCTGCACCCACCTGTTCTGTGCCCGCCCGGTCCATCGCCGCACCGCCCCATAGCCCCACCGGGAGAACGGTCATGGTGGGGGGTGGTGGGGGACTGGTGAAGGGGAAGAAGGAATGAAGACAGGTATGTGTAAGAGGGGAGCCCAGGAGAGCAGGAGGCTCTGGGCTGAGGCCTTCCCCTGTGACCCCACTAGAAACTTAGGATCAGTGAATTTTTTTTCCAGACTTAGATCCCCTCTGGGGTACAGATGAGCTAGAATACAGCAAAGGGAGCTCATGTTTTATCAAGCCAGGAACTGTGTTAAATATTCCCACCGTCTTTTTTTTTCTGAGCCCCTAATAACAAGCCTCCATGGCTTGTCATTATCCCTCCTTCTAGATGAGGAAGCTAAAGATTAGGTAAGTTAAGGATCTCACCTAAAGTCACACAGCTAGAAGTGCTAGAATAGGATGAATTGCAAAAGTTTGAAGGTGAAATCTAGGTTCTTTCCAGTTTGTGTGCTCTTGCAGATGACATTAGCAAAAGCAAAGGCTGGCTGTTAATACCATTGCCACCACAATTTCTGTAGCCAAACATCAACGACAACCAAAGCAAAAGCTAACAGCACAGGGAAGCTGTTGACCGGTGAACAAATTGTAACCCCAGTGTTATGGAGTAAATCCTATCCATGTCTTCTTGAACTTCAGAAAAGAAATTTAGAATACAGAGGGGGAAGAGTTGGACATGGGGTGAGTCTTAGTCAGAAAGAATATGTACCTGCCAAGCAAGGCATAGAAGGGTAAAGATGAACTGGGTAAGAATCACGTAACTTTGAATCTTGGTCCTTCACCCAGTGTGATGCTGGACTAGTTTACTGAGCTTCTGAGCCTGCTTGCTCATCTGTAAGTGGGGTTAATAACCTGGGTTATCATCAGCTTTCATGAAGCAACCAGCAAAGTTTCTTAGCTTGTCTCCCTTTTCTATTTGGTGATCAAGGAAAGTGAGAATGGCAGAAAGAGAAAACAATGTTGCTAAGTGGTTTGCAAACCCAGTGCCCCTCTTTTTTTGTTTCTTTTATTTGTTATTTTTTATTATTATATTGGTTTATTTTTACATATTTTTGTGCATTTTCCCATCTCAGTTGCAATCCCCTTGGGTTTCCCATCACCAAATCACCCATGTGTCATCACCATAGTCCAGTGCATTTCCCTCCACCCCCTCTTTAAAAAAAAAAAAAAGATTTATTTACTTATGCATACAGAGCCAGAGGAGAAGGGACAGTGAGAGGATTCACCAGACAGAGTGGTGACAAACCTACGGGCCGATTGACAAAGTACACTGCTGAGGGGAGCAGTGGGCAGGTCAGGAGAGGTCTGCCTCGCCAAGTGGTCACCTCCTGGGCAGGCGGGGATTGAACTCATGCTGAGGTGGCTTTAACCCGCTACACCACGAGAGAGGGCCCTCCAACACCCCTCTTTTTTGCTCCTTAATGCTGTTGCTGACCTAAAGTGTCTGTCTGAGATAGGCTGCCATGCCCCCAATGTCAAATGTACATTGAAACCTGATTTTCTGAGTTTGTGAGTTGCTCTAGGCAAGAAATTCCCCTCTATCCCTCAGACAGGCAAAGAAGGCCTTCCACTACATCTCACCACCCCGGCCACCCAGTTGTGAGGAGATGGTGCTAGAAGCACATTAGGTGTGAGAGGAACACACAGGCTGGACCTGTGTCTTTCCTGCCCCCAGTGCAGGGGCAGTAGTTGTGCCAGAAACCCCGTATCCGTGTCCTCTCTTTCATAAGGGGAAGGGACAAGGTATTAGCAACTAGAAAAGTTAGGAATGGAAGGAAAGAACGTGATGGGAGGAGATGATCCACACAGCATAGATTCCTTTCTGAATAAGGTCTCTTCTTTTAGAAAAAATGCCTAGTGAGTTCTTGTTATGGGCCTAACACAGCCGGAGAGGCAGGAACTCCGGTGCCCTTTCTCCTGAGCCTGGAATTCTAAAGCAAGACTGCTGCAAGAGGCCTGAGCATTGGTGTAAAGAAATGCTTCGTCCAGGGGACATATTATACTCAAAAACAGGTGCTCGAGGAACATGGTTAAGAATAGCCATTTGCTTGTTCAGAACAGGTAAATCCCTGGAAACAAAGAGCATATTAGGTGTTGCCAGAGGCTGAGGGAGAGGGTCAGGAGTGATTTCTCATCGATACAGGCTTATTTGAGAGGTGATGAAAATGTCCCCAAAGTGACAATGATGAGGGTTGCCCAACTCTGTGACTATATTAAAAACCATTGATATGTTCATTAGAAAGGCTGGATTTTATTTTTTTAATAGAATGCTACTATGAAAAGGGAACCAAGTATATTCCCCCAGCTTTATTGGGATATAATTGACATAAGGTTGTAAGATATTTAAAGTATACACATGGGGCCCTCTCTGGTGACGCAGTCGGTTAAAGTGCACCACTACGAAGCTAAAGCTGCTTCAGCATGAGTTTGATTCCCCGGCTAGGGAGCTGACCCATATGGCATGGCAGACCTCTCCCGGCCTGCCCACTGCTCCCCTCAGTAGTATATTCAGTGGATCCTCCTATTCTGCTCCCTACTCTGTCTCTGGTGAATCTTCTGACCAGCCCTGCACCTCTGGCCTGTACCCCAGTTCTGTATGAAGAAATAAATCTTTAAAAAAAGAAAAAGAACACTTAAAAAAAAAGTATATGCATGATGGTTTGATAGACACATATACTGTGAAAAGGTTCCTCCCTCTCAAGTTGATTAACACATCCCATAACCTTACATATTTACATTTTGGTGTGTAAATAATAAAGACATTTTCTTAACATTACTGAATGATACCTTGCATGCATCCTGCCTGTTCAATTAGTATAGCATTTCTAAAAAGGATGAATTTTAATGTATGTAGATAATATCTCAATAAAAACCCAGGTGAGGCCCTCCCTGGTGGCGCAGCAGGTTAAAGCACAGCACTAAGAAGCTTAAGCCACTTCCGCATGAGTTCGATTCCCGCTTGCCCGGAGGAGATCCACATGGTGTGGCAGACCTCTCCTGACCCGACCGCTGCTCCCCTCAGCAGTGTACTTCATCTATCTGCCTGTTCTGCTCCCCGTTCTGTTTCTGGTGAATCCTCTCACCCTCTACATCTCTGGCCTGTACCCCAGTTCTGTATGAATAAATAAATCTTAAAAAAAAAACAAACCAGGTGAAATATTCACACACAGAGAAAGGAATCCCATTTACTGTGCACTCATTATGGGCCATGCCCTTGTACATGCTCGCAATACCTCACATAATTCTCAGAGTGACCCTGTGGGGTGGGCGTTATCTGTAATCCTCACATTATAAATGAAGAAACTGAGGTAAAGAAAGGTGAAGGGACTTGTTCCAGGGTCACGCAGTTAGTACATGACAGAACTGGGACTTGAGCCATGTCAAACTGACGCCAGTAAGTTTTCCACAAGCACTATTGCCTTGGCTAAAGTTATACTTTTTTTGTTCTTATTTAAACCAGGGCAATTCAAAAGTAGCCCGCTTTCATTCTCCTTTAGCCCCTTCTCCCCTTTCCTATCACAGGACAGACAACTTTCTTTCTCTTCTTCCTTCCCACAGCTTTGTGTTGCCTCCTAATTTGTTGTTTCCCCTTCCTTACCTTTCTTGGGCTGCTTCCTCAAATTCCAAAGCACATTTCAGCTATTCTGTTCTCTCTGCCCCTCAGGGGTGCTCCCCAAAGCCTGACTACTTCTGACTGTCTGGGTCCTTGGACTTCTCTGCTCCTCATCTTGTGCCCTCTGGGATGTAGCCAGTAATCCCCTTTGGGCCCCTAAGGACCCTTGTGTGTGCACTGGGATCTCAATTTTTGCTCTCCCCTTTGGAGAAGAGCTGATTCCTACGTCAACATCCATACTTCAAGGGTTTCGTTTTAAAAACATTGAGGGCAGTGACCTGGTTTTGAAATCCAAACTGTTTTTGTAACTTTGGGTTAAAGTCCAGGTATTGACATGCTCTATGTTGCTCCAGGGGTGTTTTGCTCTCACATTTGAATTGGACAATGCAAATCTGACCATGCCTGGCTTTGGTCCTCTCCTCAGACTCCGAGTAACCCCTCCTTACAACAGGCCTGTAATATTCTCCCATGTCTTCAATAAGGCAAACGAGGCACAGAGAAGTTAAGTAACTGGCTTCGAAGGTAACTGCACTGCTACTAAATGGTACAGTCAAGTTTCAAATTATTTTCCTCGAATCTCATATCCTTTGTGCATTGCCTTGCTTTTTGTAGCCTCTCTTGCTTTAAGAGCTTTGTATGGTGAGACCAAGCCTGCAACTCAAAAAATCACACTCCTTCTCACATGTGTCTCTGCGTGCAGGTGCACACACATGTCACACACACCCAGTCGTCAAGTTCATATCTTTTTCTGTACCATCTCTCCCTTTTCCCCCCTTTCAGTTGCAGGAAATTCTTGTGTTTTTTTTTTGGGGGGGAAGATGTCTGGCGGGATTGAATGGGGTGCCTTTCAGCCCCAGAAGTCACATTCCCTTATCGATTTCATAGGCAGCCTCTGGCCAACAGAGAATAGTGGGGGGTGGGAGAATTATCTGGAGACTTCCTTCTGAATTACAGGCTGCCTTCATCAGTATGGATGGCTGGGTAAAGTGTGCTAAGCCCTCTCCTTCTTCCCCTGTTTCTCTTTCCTGCTTG